GTGTTGTAGAATAAGCACTGGACTGCTAAACATAAGGTCAGTGGTTCTAACCCACCAGTTGCTTCTCAGAAACCCTATACAGGGTTGCTATGGGTCAGAACCGATTCAGTGGTGTTTAATAACGACCAGAACATACAAATCTGTTTTGGAAGAAGTACAGGCAGTATGCTCCTTAGAAGTGAGCATGGGGAGATTTCATCTCACATACTTTTGGACATGTTGTCAGTTGGGACCAGTCACTGGAGAAGGACATCGTGGTTGGTAGAGGGTCAGTTAAAAAGGAAGACCTATTAATACAGAGGCTGTAGCAACGACTCAAACATAGCAAGGATTATGAAGATAGTGCAGGACCAGATAGGGTTTTGTTCTGTTGTACATGGGGCCATTATGAATTGGAACTCACTTGACAACTTGGTGCTGTAGGATAAGCACTGACCGCAAGATCGGTTAGAACCACAAAGTCAGTGGTTCAAACTCACCAGCTGCTCCTCAAAAACCCTGTACAGGATCACTGAGTTGGAACCGACTCCATGGTACTTCACAACAACAATAACAACAACTAGACGTTTAATGTCCTTTTTTTAGGCAAGGTTAAAAAAATACGTTTTTTTAACTTACTGTTTTGTAAACTATGTATTCATAATCATTGTTTTTAGTAGGGTTGTCTTCCTTTTTAAATTGGTAGTTCTGAATGTAGGCTGGCTATTAAAACTTTGCTGTCTATATTGATGCTGTTTCCATTTCTTCTCTTTGTTACCAAGCTCTTCTGACATCTTCCTTGCTTTCCTCTCTACATTCTTAAAGCACAATACAAGCCCCTGACAGCATGAGGCATATAACTTCCCACCACCACTTCCTCCCAGCCTTGACTCCTCCTCTGATAAACAGGAACTATCTTTGCCCACACTCAGCTTTGCATCTCACAGATAAGCTGCTGCTGAGCCAACTCCAGCCTCAAGCATGAGGACCCTCCCCACCACAGCCCTGGACTTAGTGAGAGAGGCTTCTAGATGTTCAGAAGTGCAAGATTCCACAGTATGTTTGAGGAGAAAAACAAAAACAAGGGCACAAGAAAGACCCTAATGGCAAACTCTTTGTTTTCCATTCTCCCCAGTGCTAACTCTAGCAGCTAGATCCATTCACACAACTACAAAAATGTTCCCATGATCCTTCCACTCAACTCCCCTTGCTACATCAGTTAGGGTTAGTAGAAAAAAAAAAATGTTTCTAAAAATTATTATCATTGGGATGGAGTCCTTGCGGTGTATGTAGCCTTGCTGTTTGTTTTAATTTCTTTTTAAAAAACATTGTCAAAGTATATATAACACAGCATTTGCCGGGCCAACATTTTCAGGCATGCAATTTAGTAATATCAATTACATTAAGCATGTTGTGCTTCTATTTTAATCCTTAACACTTCATGTTCCCACCCATTACCCACTACAGTAGAGTCGATTGTGACCTTATAACACAAAATAGAATTGCTTCATAGGGTTTCTGAGGCTTTTAGAGGAAAGAAAACTGAAGCTCAGTGGGTTAAGTACCGTTAAGTCTGTTCTGACTCATAGTAACACTGTAGGGTTTCCCGAGGAGCGGCTGGTGAGTTTGAACTACTGTCCTTGTGGTTCAGACCAAGCTTTTGGCCCACTACTTACTTATTCTACAGTACCACACCAAGACTTTAATTAGAACTTCCTTACTCACAAAAAGGTGAGACTCAAAAAAGAAAATGTGGTCAGTGTAGTTCATGGATTTATCAGAAAACTCCCCCACAAAACTGTTGGTGCTAAAAATGAGTGTGAAGAGTTTCATTTCTCATCGTGCCATCTGGTACGGAGCACATCACTGAATAGGAAACTTAGTTGTGGCCATGGCCTTTACTTGTGACCTTTCCTGCCACACCTCCACTCAAATTTGACAACAGCAGTGCTACTAACCATGCTAGAAGACAGCGAGGCTTGGGCATTGGTTTCTCATTGGTTTACATAAAAGAATATAGATATTTAGCAGCTGGGAGGGGAAAAAAAAAAAAACTTTACATATTTGGAGTAAGATGTTTCAAAATGAGTCAGGTTTTATTGGGTACATCAGTAATGCATTTCTTCCACTTGAATGTAGGAGTGTTGTGTGTGTAAGCACAATCTCTCTTTAAGCCTTGACCATCATGAAAACCAAGAACAAGCAAAATGAATACAGTCTAGAACCAGACCATCAAATGGCTGCATCACACACTTAGAGTATAATTTTTGAAATAATCAAGCATATTCAGTCACATTGCCTTCACTTGAACATATCATTAATAATATTATAAAGGCAAATTTGTGATAAAGATAACTTTTTAGTGTTAAAATATTTTATCTTTAGCCTATATTTAAATTTTTTCTATTTTGAAGAAAACAAGGTATATAATGTACAGTGAGGTTAAGTGACACCAACGCAGTTCTGACTCATAGCCACCCTGTGTAGGGTTTCTGAGGAGTGGCTGATGGGTTTGAACCACCAATCTTATAGATAAGCAGCCCAGTGCTTATCCAATAGCGCCACACCAGGACTCCTGTATAGGGTTACAGATGGAAGCTGTAAATCTTTGGGGGGAGGGAGTAGAAAGCCTCATCTTTCTCTTGAGGAGCAGCTGGTGGGCTTAAACCACTGACCTTGTAATTTGCAGTCTAGTGCTTGTCCTACAGTGCCGCCACACTCCCATTAGTACAGTGTTGTTACAGTTGTACAGTTTGGACCACTTCTGACTCATATACAACCTTGTATGTTGTTGTTGTTGTTGTTAAGTGCCATCGAGTCGGGTCCGACCCGTAGCGACCCTGTACAGGGTTTCCGAGGGTGTAAATCTTTACGGGAGTAGAAAGCCTCATCTTTCTCCCGCGGAGCGCCTGGTAGTTTCGAACCGCTGACCTTAAGGTTCGCAGCCCGATTCGTAACCACTACGCTACCAGAGCAACCTTGTATAGTGGCTGGTAAATTTGAGCTGACCTGAGAGTTAGCAGTCCAGTGCCAATCCTACAGCATCACACCAGGGCTCCCGTTAGTATAGTGGTGGTGGTCGGGATATGCCCTGAAGTCATTTCTGACTCATAGTGAGAGAGGGTTTCAGAGGCTGTTAATCTTTCATTACAAGCACATCTGCTGGTAAATTCAAACTGCTGACCTTGTGGTTAGCAGCCCAACCTGTAACCCATTATACTACCAAGGTTTCTTCTTAGTATGTTTGCTGTGAAGTGCCAGCATGTCATTTCTGACCCATAGCCACTCTGTATAGGGTTTCCAAGGAGCAGCTGGTGAGTTTGAACCACCAACCTTGCAGTTCAAACCAGCTTTGCAGTCTGGCGCATTAACTCACAGCGCTACACCAGGATCCCCTTATTAGTATAGTAAGATAGGAAAATAAATAATAGAGTTTAAATGGTAAGGATTATGTTTGTTTTTTTAACCTTGGAGATCACTAGCACTGACTCAGGGTTTGCCCTTCCAAATACTCTACAAATTTCCCCTTTTTAAAAAAGAGCAAGCCAAACAACTAGCCAACAAAAACAAAACAAGCCCATTTCTCTGGAGCAGAGCTGCTCCATAGAGTTTTCTTAGCTGTGTGCCCAGGGGCTATGGGTTAGGGACCGTCTTCCCTGTTCTGGTGGTGGTGGTTGTGATCGAGGCTGTAAATCTTTACAGGAGCAGAACACCTCATCTTTCTCCTGAGGAGCAGCTGGTAGTTTCAAACCGTTGATCTTGCGGTTTGCAGCCCAATTTGTAACCACTATGCTAGCTACCAGAGCTCCTTATTCTATGTGGCTCTTCAAGATGAAGAGCCTCTACTATGAGCAAAACAAGCTATGGAAATCTGGAAATCTGCCTTAGGCCCTTTTTAGCACCACGCTGCCCCATGGTGGCCAGAGGCCAACGGTGCTCCCACCTAGACTGTGACTGAAAAGTCACTCCTGAGTCCCCAGATGGCAGTTTAGATACCTCTCTTCCCCACCCTTCTCCTTACTTCTCAGGTTACTTTTCCCTGACACACAGCCTTCCCCCAGAGCCCCACTCACGTGTTTGAACTTCTTGCAGCAAACTCAGGAGCATGCGAATGAGGAGAGCCCACACCATCACATCTGTTACAATTGGGATAACACTAGACACCCAAAAATCAATCCTGAAATGTCAGGCACAGTCTGACTTAGATCTGGTAGGAACTGTGGGAGGAGCTTCTGAATAGAAACTGACAGCAGTCTACATACACGTTAGAAATTCTAGTTGCAGTTGGTTCCTGAAAAAGATGAAAATCCCGGAGAACAGAAAACACTACTTGGTTCCGTAGCCCAGTGCCACAAAGAGTCAACCCAGCAGTCAGGGACATTCCAGACAACACAAACCTTAAGCAGGTTTTCACCCTGATCTGTTTTCTCAGCCTCACAGCCTCACAGCCTCACAGCACAGCCGGTGTTTCTTCCTCCCCGAAATGCAAATAAGGTCTGATAAAGAAACTCAAGGAGCACAATGGCTCCCTCAGATAACCTCTGGACTGTGAAACATAATGCCAGTTTGAGCCCACCAGCTGCTGCACTGGAGAAAGATGAGGTTTTCTGCTCCAGCAAAAATTTACAGCCTCAGAAACCCTATACAGGGTCACTCTGAGACAGATCCATTCAACGGTGCTACCAGATTGGGCTACAAAAGACAAGAAAGTCATGATGTGAAACAGCAATGCAAGGGTTAATTTAAAAACAGGGACCTTACAGGGGAAACATGCCACCGACAGCAATATCTCCCAAAGCTCAGTTTTAGCCCCTATAAAACCCCCTTTGGGGGTTTTATAGGGGCTAAAAGCAGGGGAACATGCAGGGATAGTCTCAGCAGGTTCCTGAAATTCTTGACAACATCTTGCAGTTTCAGATATTGCTTCCTGGCTCCTCATGCCTCTGGTTGAATGCTCATGTCTCACATACGTGTACCACATCCAAGACCCTGCTTTGAGATCCAGGTCTGACTCTGAAGCCCCATATTGAGGTTACCAGCCTGACCTGAACTTCTGCATTTGCCAGGCTTTGCAAGCTGGAGGAACATAGCAATTTCTGCAAAACACTAAAAAAAAGTGTCTTGTTAAGTTTCATTTCCTGCTCCACTTCGGCTTTGCAAGATCTGTTCTTTCGTAAGAGAACTGTCTGTTCCTCTTTACTCTTTCTCCCTCCAGGTTATACCTTTCTTTTACATCAGCAGTAACAACAATAATAAAGAAATTCAAACAGACCTGTAGGACAGGCAGGATTGTGAAACCTGACACATTTCATAAGCAAAACTTAGTAAGAGCCAATCAGGGTTGCCAATTCAACTAAACTTACAGAACCAACCTCCCAGACTCCAAGTTAACCACCAAGTTCCAGTCAACCAATTTAAAAACTGCTTTGTTTCTGCATTTGTTCAATAAAAGGCTTTCTCCAGTTTTTCTACAAACTTTCCAGTCACTTTCAGTTTCATTGCTATCTGATGCAGGCCACAGTTGCATTGGAATAAACCAAACAATTTATTTTTGCCACCAGGGTTCTTTTAAAAGGATGATTCAAAGCCTGGAAAATATTACAAACTTGCTGACTGGGGGAAAATGTATTTTTAAAATTGAGATGCAGTTGAGTTGGAAAACATTACATATATAGGAAAAGATTGTCAAGCTGTTCAGAATATGGTTGATTTTCATGACCTCCGTTTAAAATGTCCAATTAAAAAAAAGCAGCATTGTTTGAGTAACAGTGAAACTCAGAAGGTGGTGGAGTCCTTCTGGGGACTTACCCTAAGTGAGAACGGATATAGCACAGCCTTGTGCTCTAAGACTTGGGTGGGTCTGGGCAGGAAGCTGTGTGCAAGTCCCTGAAAGTCCTTTGTTATCTGTACACTTAGGATCTTGATTTCAGCCCAGCAATAAAGCCCCACTCAGTTGAATGTAAAACTGATGATCTACCCTGTAAACGTTCATTCAAGTCACAATAAACACACACACACACACATACACACAAAAAGCCCCACCTAACATCTCTCTGGTCTTTTACATTTTTTTCTACAAATGTAATTGTAAAAATTGCAGATATTTGCTTACCATGTTGGAGTTTGAACATGTATGCAAGGGCTGATGTAGGAGAGGGTTACAAAAAGTTCATGGAAACCTAGAATTCAAAGAGAATGAAAGGGGTGGGGCTTGATGGCAAATTAGGAAAAAACTTGATGTAGCCCTCCAACAGTAATAACACAGAATATCGGACAAAGCAGGTACAGGGGAACTCTGAACTACATATAAAGGATTATTTATCCCAGAACTCTGAACTACATATAAAGGATTATTTAGAAGGATCAGTCAAAGGCTTACTGCTAGGGAAATTTGTAGCAGAAACAAGAACGGTGGTGTTTTCTGACCTGTGGTTGCTAGCCGATACCAGAGTGGCCATCTTGGGAATGACGAAGGCAGGAACAGGATAAGAGGAGCACTCCCACCACAGAGGTCTGACCGATCTCCAGAAATAAAGGCATGAATATTTTTTTCCTGTTCATTGGTCTCTCACTGTACGCACACCTCCACTCTGGTGATGAGAGGAGGTGTCTGAGTGAGCAGATGTCCCACTCCACGCTCAGCGGGTTCTACTACACATGCTCATGGATCTGCTCAGCAAAAACCACAGCACGCAGAATCTAAGAAAGGGGAAAGGTCAACAGGAACTGCTTAAAACACAACGGTCCCCCAAATGGCTCCAGCCGGCTGAGCGAGGGGTGTTAAAGTCATATTTATATTTTCCTTACTTATATATTGGTTTTTTTTTGGTTTTGTTTTTTCCCAATTATAGACGGGGGTATCCAATCTGTTTTATTTTTTTGCTGCTGTGATCTTATTGTTTTGTTGTTGACGTTGTTGTTTCCCTTTTACTTTGTGTGTGTGGGGGGGGTGTCTTTCTCTTCCTACATTACCCAAGAAGAGACAGCAATTGTAGTCATATAGCCAAGCTACAATCATACCCTATAAAATCCCACCATCCAGGTAAGAGCCAATACCAGCTGCTATGCACAAGATAGCCAACACCTGCTACAGTTACTCTGAGTTGTGTAATAAGAAGGGTGAAAAGGGAAGCCCATCTCCTGATCACATCTACCTGGAGGCAATCAGAAACCTTAATAATACATCAACATACATTCATCTAATTCTTGAAAGCAAACCTAATTATTGAAGATGCCTAAGAGACAGTCCAAGATTTCTAAATATGTCCAGAAACAAGATAGAGCAACTGAAACAAACGAGCTGCAGGTAGACCTAGACTACCCATTGGAAGGAAGGCAGGCTTTGGAACTGCTTGAGCATGAATTCAGGAAAATGATAATGCATTTCATACAAATCTTCCACAAAGAGGTTGAGAAAAGTAAGGAAGAAGTCAGGAAAGAGCTACAGAACAAGTAAATAAAATAGAAATAGCACTGGAAGCAAACTATTCAAAACCTGCAAAAAGAGGTCCAAATGATTAATAATCAAATATCAGAAATGGACAATACACTGAAAGGGCAAAGGAGTAGAATCGAAGACGTGGAAGCCAGAACCAGCAAGCTTGAAGACAAATCTCTCAATACTGCTAAGATAGAAGAGTAAGCAGAAAAAATAGGACTTAAAAAATCTGAAGAAAGCCTAAGATTCATGTGGGACAACATGAAGAGGAATAATTTAAGAATTATTGGCATTCCAGAATAGGAAGAATTACAGAAGTCCACAGAAGAGATAGCTGGAATAAAATGTCCCTAACATCCTGAAAGAGACGATGGAAAAGCTCCATACCATCAGTCAAAACAAGGCCAGGGGCAGACTGTGGAACACACCATCAATTACTCATATGAAAGTTCAAACTGAAACTAAAGAAAATTAAAATAAGTCCACGAGAGCTAAAATAAGACCTTGAATATATCCCATCTGAATTTAGAGATCATCTGAAGAACAGATTTGATACATTAAACACTAAAGACCAAAGACCAGAAGAGTTGTGGGATGACATCAAGAACATCAT